CGGCAGGGGCGGGGGGGGGGGGGGGGAGCCCTTGGAAGCTTCCCCCCTCTCCTTGAGCAGGGGGTGTGGGGCCAGGTTTATCTTAAACCCATTTTGAAAGCAGTTTACATGCAATGAACTTGTGTTTTGTTACAGGTTTAAACTGCTTTCTGATCACTTAAACTGGTTTATGTGCAACTTCTGTATGGGAGAACACGCCCATTTAAATTAATAGCATTTTGATTCCCTTTCTTTTCTTTTTTTAAATAAAGAGTTTTATCTGTGAAGATAAGAGTAAAAATGTTAATGCCGAAAACCTGAAGACAATGATGTGAGCACAGCTGGGATGCAGAATGTAGTGGTTTCTTTGCTTGCATTGCAGATGCTGACCACCTGGAAACTTTTTATCCATACAAAAAGGCAGATTCATCAGCTTTACTGAATTATAAAGCCTGTTTGCACAAAATCCACCTGTCTGTATTCAGGTTCTTCTACAGTACATGCAGCCAGGCCTGAAATTTCAAAACAAGGCGAGTACTGTGCCCTGCACAGAATTCCACTGGTGCATAAAGCATACATTTGAGTATGGGGCTAGGGGTGCAAAAAGCTGTGGACGCATGAGCAAATATCCAAAAACAACCGAGAATTCAACTTGAGCAAAAAAAAAAAAATTTATTTGCATTCTCAAAAATGTTAGCCTGGACAATGAAAATCAGCTGGCTGGTTTCACTTTTATAAGTCTCTTGGCAATTGCACTTCCTGGTAATGTGATCCTAAACTATTTGAGGCTCAAACACAGAGTGGACTATTGGAAGAAGGGACCAAGCAAACAACTGTTTTAAATGTAACATTTGTGGCTTGCTAATTTTTTTAAACTCAGAATTTGGGGGCCTAATATACATGATGTTATTCTTTTGATCAAGCAGCATTCAGATGAGCAGTGAGAACAGCATCTATTTAAGTGCTCCTTAAAACAATCCAAATACTTTTTGCTAGACACAAATAAGAATTTTGATAAATCTCAGCAAGCAGCCAATAGATTTCCATCCTCAGAAAAGACACTACACTCTTCAATGAGTTCCTTCGTGAAAAGCTCCACATAGTTATGCAGTTCAGCCTTGTACTCCATTCAAGAAAGGTGGGCAGATGTTTTGTAGTGGAAAATAAGAAGCCTGCATATTTTTGCAGGAGGATTTAGAGCATCCCTTGACTTTGTAGTGCTTAGACACAGCAGTGTCCCTAGTGTCACCAGCTCAGAGCTGGCCTTTTGAACTGTGTTTCAGTTTGCCAGATTGAGGCTAGAAACCACATTCTTAAAGCTGGGAAGTTAGCTGGAGCGTGCACAGCAGGGAGCTGGCCAATGAAAATGTTGGAACAGATTCCTCATACAAACCAAAATGAGCAGCTAATATTTCTGAAATATTACAGTGTCTGTAACAGGAAAATTTAGTAGGTGTTTTACAGGCAGCATGCTGTACAAATGAAAACCAAGCCCTTTAAACACTGTCTGTCCTAATCTGATGGAATCTCTCCATTTGGTTGGATGTCTGCCCTGAAGACAAATTTTTTAAGCCATATGGTCTCTGAATAAAGGATTATTTCAATATTTGAATAGCTTTATTAAGGGAGGGGAAAAAGAATAAATACCATATTCTTTTCAGAGGCTCCTGACAGAAGTAACAGAAGTACACGTGCAACAATGAATTTCAGCTATAGAAACTATACTAAGAGTAAGTGAAATGCATTGTGAACGTTTTCCCTGCATGGGGAGGGCTGCATTAGAAATCACTGAAGACTCATTAAGAAAATAATATGCTACTTCTTCCTACATTAGGATGGCATCTCCCTAACTATGGGTAGCAGTCTTATTTCACAAGAGGTGCTTCGGTTATGGTCTTCCTATCTAGTTGCTGTTTCTCCCAACACGAATATAAATTCTTCTGCACAAAATGGAGAAACTTTAGTTTTAAACGGCATGGACCAGGGGCTCTCAAATTTCCTCACAGCATGGAAAGCACTTAGTAAATAGTGTCTTCTGGAGTTAACTTCCCCATTTGCAATTGTGGAGATATATTTATCCAAAGTGCTGAGAGGGAAAAGTTAACAGTTACTTACTCAAGAAAAGGAGTTTCTGGAAATGGTCTTACCAGACATTTAACGTTAAGATGTCCTTAACATCACTTGATTTGTGTCCACATGAAAAAGGGTGTCCAGATAATTTGTTTCTATTTCATTTTTCTCTTCACCTTTGTTCAGCAGTCTACCCCTCCTGACACCCTTTTTATTTTCCTATAGCACAGACTTTCTTGTAGAAACGAAAAGCCAGCACCAAGGACTTAGCTTCCTGGAGACTCTAGCAGATGCTCCATAAAATGAAGTTCAGGCACTATAGCAGAGGCAAGGGGTGCCCAAATATTGTGCGCAGCATTGCCCACCCGCAGAACACTTGAAATACAATGACAAAGGAAGTTAAGAATGTAAGTTACAACGACCTGGAAATATAGTGGAATTGAAGCAACTGAAGGAAAAGAAGAATGTCCTTAACCATGGGGCATTTAAAGAACTTCAATCACACAACAGGTACATTACAATGGCACATTTGTATGAAATCTAATTGCTCTTTTGCCCTTGACCCACAATATAATGCATAAGCTCCATGACAAACCGGCCGTAACATTTATTATGAGCACTAACAAATCTCCTCTCACGTATAAAGCAAAAGAGTGTATATAGCCTTGACCTGGTATCCAGGTGATGGGTCATTCATGCTGAAGTGTCCTTCCTAAACGTACTTGTTTTCCTGAATATGGGTGGACAACTGAACACACACTAGAACAGGGGTAGGCAATTATTTGGGCCCATGGGACACATAGAGAGTTTTGGTGAGCTATCATGGGCTGGGTCAGCACCCCTCCTCACCCCCAGCTCACCAAAGCTCCCTAAGTGGCCCTCGCGTGCGGCTGGGAGGGACATCCGCAAACAGGATGGGCAGGTGAGACTGGGATCACAAGGCAGGATCATGGGGTGGTGACAGTGTGGGGCCAGGGCAGAGCTGTGATCTGCTGCCCACACTAATCTGCGGCTAGGGTGTGAATTATGGGGGAGCTTGGGGGGGCTGAGCCCCCCTATAAGATTTGAAAATCACAACCAGGAATAGGGGTAGTCTTGATCAGACTGCTCCTTCCAATGCACCAGTTTATTTTTTTCCCCACAGACCGCACCCCCTGCCAAGAGTCAAAGTATAATTGAACCCTCCCTGCGATAGGCACCAGTTCTGCGAGAACAGGGATGTGGGGAGCAGATCATAGCTCAGTCCTGGGCCTTGGCCCGATGCTGTCACTCCCCCAAGATTCTGGCCACCCGCAGCCCCATCCCATCTGTCTGGCTGCACACCCTGCCCACGCAGGTCCCAGCTAGTCTCCATGGAGATCCCAGGATTGCAGAATGGTGACAGTGTGGGGCTGGAACCAAGGTCAGGGCTGGGCCCAGGGCCAAGGTCAGGGCTGGGGCCAGGGCCCTGATCCGCTGCTCACACACCCCTGCCCCAGGCCCCAGGCCCCATCCCCATGCTGTCGTCATCACCCCTCGATCCTGGGATCTCCATGAAGACTGGCTGGGACCCATGCAGGCAGGATGGACAGCCAGGCAGATGGGCTGGGTCCACAGGCAGATGGGCAGCTGTGTCGGGGGCCAGGTCTGGGATCTTGGGGCAGTGATAGCCTGGGACTGAGGCCCAGGGAAGAGATGCAATCCACTCCCTGCATGCCCCTTCCCGCAGAACCTGCGCCCACCACAGGGCCATGTGGGAGTGGATCACAGGTCTGCCCTGGCCCGAGCCCCAAAAAAGCAAGCAGACAACAAATGACAGAGAGATTTCCAAGTCCGAAATCAAAGGGAAATGAATGCAACTAATGCACATAGAATAAATAGAACAAAAAGACAGGCTGATTTACTTTGCATCCTCATCAAAAGTCTGGTGGTGTAACACAAACACTAGCAATGGTGATGGGAGCTGCTTGATGAAAAGGTGCTTCTCCCACCATTTCATCCACATTTAGTGTACATCAACACTCCAGTCAGTCACCCAGCAACATCTTCACACCCTAGAGCCTTTGTGCAAGTTGCTCTTTTTACTTAGGTCCTGATATGCCCCGAGAAGGCAAATCTATGCCACTTCACATGAGAATGGATTTTTCACATTCAGGGCTTTGATGAAAGAAATATTTCCACTCCTTTTACGCAAGTTCCTTCCAGTTGATTGGCAGCTCTGCTGGAGCAAGCATTATGGTTCCTTTAACGTGTGGCCTAGCTTCACAGATTGCAATAGACTATGACATCTTTAAAAGTCAATTTAGAGTATTTTGTATTGACAGAACACTGTGATTTACCTGGAAGAATGAACTGTGTGGCTGATTGTAACAACATAACCAGCTCCTCCAACATCTAAGTAGGGACCGGTGAAAGTAATTAGGCCTGGATTAGCTACTGCATGCAAGTACCTAGAAGAGACCAAAATAAATGTAATGCATTAGTGACAAAGAGTGATACCAAATGGAAAAAAAACTATGGCTCTAATTCTGCAAAGACTTTGACATGGGCTTAACTCTACCCACTGCAAACAGTGCTGTAAAGCAGTTCACAGTGACTGAAAGTAAGCAAATGCAGGATCAAAGCCCAGTACAATCTACTGACCAATACTCCTGTTTCTCAACATGAGCAATCACATTAAGATATTCTGTATGAAATGGTCATATCTTATTGTTAAAACCATTTCAGAGTATTGTAGTCCTATTTTATTTTGAATAGTGATTGATTTAAAACAAGCTGAGCCTCATATTGTTGAACAAAAAGTGCCTACATTCACTGCACAGAAAATTCAAGAGTAAGCACTTCTGCAACCATAACTCCACCTGTGCAAACTTATAAAGTTGTTTGAAAATGGTGAGCAGTATGTACTTGAAGGCTGCTATCAACTTAGTCACCCACACACGTATCCAGATTTCTTCCCTACTGTTGTTGTAAGTAGTGTCTATCAGTACTTTAACTGCAAAAAAACATTTCTATCTTTCCAATTAATTTATTTGCACACAATTTTGTAGGCAATTTCACTGGTTTCTGTTTTGCAGCTTCTTTTATTACTAGTGTGAGCTTCCCCAACCAAAATAGGAGAGGGAAAACAATAGAAAAATATGAATATAAACCCCATGAAAACTGGCAGGCATATCCAAAGAAGGTGCAATAAAACTACCCTGAAGTCCCTTTTGTTTGGGTCTGAAGATGACAGTCCTGAGTATTAACATCTGGAGAGGAGTGGTGGCAGTGAGGGCTGGTCTATCTAAGCATACATACACTTATTTTTTTAAAAATAAAAGGGGGAAAAGGTTGAATTAACATTAAATTGTAATCCAGACTCAAACACATCTATCCAATCATGAAAAAAGCAAAATTACAGTAAAATTATTCCTAGTAGATGACAGCAAAAATGTAAACAGTTGAACTGGAGAGAAGAAAAAGTCTTGAAGGAAGGTGAGAACATAGATTAAAAGCTATGTTAATTATTTTTCAGGGAGATGTGGAGTGGAAGAGCTCTCAAAGTGGCAAAGCCACAAGTGATTTAGAGCCTGGGTGATTTAGCCGGAGGGTAGGAATCCTAAATTTGCTTACATACCCCACTCTCTTTACTTGCTTGGTGCAACACCTCCTGGCTGGCTAATTTAACAAACAAAACACATTCACACCTCTCATGGGTCAGCATTTAATCTGTAATGTATACAAGCATTTTCCTAAATCATATGCTAGTGCATAATAAAGACTAGCTGCAATTAAGCCAGCAAGTTCCTATTTGGAACTACATCAGGAAATCCACTGTAAACAAATGCCACCATGTAAAATATTAACAACAAAGAATACTATAAAGGCTGTAATTAATATTTAGAGACAAATAAATTAAACTGTAATGGGTCAAAAGGGTACAACATGGGCGGTGGTGTTTATTTGTATACATTTATATTCATGTGTGCTGAACAGAGAAGTGTAAAACAGAGGCTGTCACCTCAAAAAAAAAGAAGTTGAACTTGTAGCCAGTTTAGGTCCTGGTTAAATATACTGAACACTATGTATTTTACTGACCCCATAAGCATATTCTTTATCTTGCCTTAACAAATATGGTCTTTACATGAATCCTATACAAAGTATTTTCTCTTGTGTAATATCATCACCCTGCACGATTTTCCAAACCTTTGATAATGGAAACCTAAAACTCACCATTGTCTCCTAGTGGGATCAAATGCTTTGTCCATGAGAGAACCAGGATAAATTCTGAGCACCCCATTGGGCGTTGCTATGTAACGGCGGACAATGTAACTGTTCAAGCTACTCATTTCCATTTGTGTCATCCATTCATCTGTGACGTGACTGGTAGCCATTACTTCATTTCTGACAGAGAACTGCAAAACAAAGACAAACCTAGCAGGGTTCCTTTAAGGCTTGCCTGAAAAGATAATAAGCTGCTTGCAGGGTTTCCTAAAGACCTATCAGAGATAATCTAAACCCAATTACTTGTTTAAAATCTTCTCACACCAGATGGATCTAGCAAATTCCAAGTAAAGAAGCAGCTTATTATAATGAAATATTGCTGTCATTATCTACACAGCTTTTAACTGCTGGTGAGTATAAATACTGCTCCATTTAAAATAAACCCAAGTTTTCTCATTTAAATGCAAAAAAGCACAAAGTATCCCCCTCCAACTTGGTGTTTATTACAATTCTGATTTTCATATTGTTCATTCCAACAATAGTTTGTAAATGTTATTCCTGAGGAAAGGGGGCCTCTAGTTTCTCTTCCCCTCTGCATTTCTCTACCAGCCTTGAAGTCCCCATCCACCCAGCTGAGAAGGGGACAGGATTCCTTTTCAAGCTAGTTAACATGGCTTTTCTAGGCTAGAATCGTTCCTATTGTGGCTCTCAGCACCAAGAGAATGAGATGAAAATCTTAACGTCCCACATGCTCAACACTCCTATGCCCTAAGAGGCCAGTCCAAAGGACATATACGAAATTAGACTAGCATGGTAACCAATAAAGAGAAAGTAATTCAAATAAACTGCATACTTTAAGTCCAGGATTAGCAATAAGCCGGGTGTTGTCACTGAGGTATGCTGTGTAGTGTTCCACCATCCGTTTCGTCTCAGGTTGGCTCAGATGTTCATAAGGAGAAGAAAAGCTACCAGCAGATAGCATGACTGTAGGACTTTCTAAAATAAGAAAATGTTATATGACTGAAGACAAAGCACTATGTTCAGCACACAGTAAATTCTAAAGCATCTTGGAACACTATCTGATCCGAAATCGTGGCTCAGTCCATGGACAATGCCAGATGTTTAGGAGGAATACTGACAGAGGTATACCAACAGTGTTACAGTACTACAGTTCTTTTCTTCCTATTCCCAACAGATGGTCCATTCATGACCTGAAGCATGAGGATTATTATCCCAGTATGAAAGTACTTTTGAGCACAGATCATTAAGTTCCACATTCTTCACTGAAACACTTCTTAAGAAGTATAAATGCCACAAAAAGGCAGGTGAGAAGTGTCTCAGTCCTACTCAAAGTCTCAATACCCTCTGAAATGTATTAGGGTATAAAAACTAGGGCACAAGTGCACAGGACAAGGCACCAAGCACTATACTACTCCTAACATGCAAATTAGTTCATTCAGAGCTAGCTTAGGTATCCCCGACACAATACTGCTCTGTGCCCTGTACACATACTTTTTGGTGCCCCCTACCCCAGGGAAGAATGAGAGTTGGGAGGAAAAACTAAGAGAGTTTAATGGTTTGGTGTTGGATGGGGCGATACAGAAGCATGGGAAAATCTATGAGCTTTAAGGTCATTAATACAGGGAGAGATACAAAAACAGAAGTCTGACAAAACTGATGGAAGGAGTCTGCTGACAGCTGTGGTTGGGGGTTGGATCACAAGCAATTAGAGTACTCTGGCAGGTGTTTTTCCAGTGAACAAAACCTGGGATATTAAAGATGAACAGAAACGTAGATGGTGCAAGGCCCGTAAAACTGATAAATGTGTCTTTTCTTGTACACTTCATAAAGGAAAGAGAGATTATGTCAATTTATTTTGTTTTTTCTCTGGGTACAATGGTCCCCTATAGGGAAGAAATTCCCAGTACCTTTCTGAGCAAAGAAAAAGTTCTCTTCTTCCCCAAATCACTGCACAGCTAGCAGCCATATCTACCTCAATTATTACTTGAATTTCTGTAGTATTTTCATTTACCAGAGTAGTCTGAGCCACTTATATTTTTGTTTGCATAGTTTTTCTCTTGCCTCCATCTTAATCGTTTCTGCTCAGGGCCTACCATGGGGGGGCCAGGAGGGCCATTTGGCCCAGGCCTCATTCACGGAGGGCCTCAAATTTAGACTTTTTGACGTTATCTCCAAATGAGGTTATACATACAGACACAGAGATACAATGACAGGATTGAAAGAAGACGTTCATCATACAACTTTAAACTTGAGTCCCATTACCGGGCCACACCGCCTGTAGTGCACTATGAATTAATATTTTTTTTAATATACCAAGAGCCTCAAAAAATCGAAGTGGCCCGGGCCTCTCTCAACCTCTGAGAGGGCCTGTTTCTGCTATATGCTAATAAGAGATAACTGAAACTAGATGCTACACTGAAGATGAGGACTTTTACTTTTTTTTTTTTTAAATTAATGGCAATAACAGCTTCCATCTCATCTTACTTTTCCACAACATGACCCAAGATCTTATTTGCTGTTTGCTGCGGCATTCAATGAAGAGGTGTCATTGCTGAATTGTCCTCCATGAAACCTACCCATTTTGTCATGTAGGATTATAATTAATTCACAATTCTGTTTAGCATTAGTGTAAAATGTAGAGAAGAATCAATTTGAAAGACAAAAATGTCCTTCTTAAAAAGATTCTAAATTGTTCTCCCTACATACTAAAACTTTTTAATATAATCCGATTCTGAGGCCAGCTTCTCTTTCTATATCATCTGCTCAACTGCTGATATCAGCAGGGTTGATTAAAATAATTTTAACCCCCGGAAAAGAGACACATATCCTTTTTGGGGGCAACATGCCACTGAACTCAGAATTTTATTTAGGTTCAAAAGGTCTGGAAACTCTCACATGAAAAAGAATTTAAAGATTATTAAAATTTTGATTTCCATCAGTTTTAACTTCTGACTGCTTCACATGGAATGATGCTATTAAATATTTATGGCTGTGAAAAATCTGCATAAATCCAATGTCAACAGGATACAGCTTGACTGGCAAGAACTTTGTTGTTTTCATGTTCTCACTAATGATTTGCTCGAAAGCAACAGAATGAAAATAAATTTTAAATTAGATTTGACATTTTTAGTTCCTACCTGCCCTCTATTCTGAAAACTAAACTGCATAACTTTCTAGCATATACATACTAACATGAGCACTCCAAATAAAATTAATGGGAGTACTTATGAAAATACCCCACAATGTACGGGTTCCACAGTTTAGCGAAGCATGAAAAGGTGCAAAAAAGTAACATCAGGTAAGAGACTTCCCTCAAAACCAAATTTTTCACAAGAAACAAAAACATTTTAATAGGATTTTAGTGGAAAATGTTTGCATTTCTTCCTCAGCTATATGAAAATATATGTAATCTGAATATGAACAGCAGGATTTCTTACCTAATGTTGCCAGCTGCTTGAAGTGCAGACAGGCATTGGGCTGGCCCAGTAGATCCAGGCGATGATACAGCAGCTTGCTACTAGGGACAGTGTTGAGATTCTTGAGCTGTTTAACTGGTATTTCTGGCTGAATCACCACTACACACAGAATGAAGGATGTGTCCTGAACCTCAAAAACGAGGACAAGACAACAAAGTTAGACCAAAAACTAATCTTGATTTATTCCTTATTCCCTACAAATTTTCTCTTTCTTCTTCCATTTTCTCTCGTTTCCCCTACTCTGGAACCTGGCACCCCACTAATCCATACTCTCAAGTAGCCTATTCTGTCTTCCTAAAATTAATCACCTCTACAGTTTCCTCACAATTAGTAAGGACATAATCCTCAACAGGGAATTGTGTGGGCAGGCTCTGCATAACTACAAGGTCTGAAAACAACAATGGCTCTGTTCACACATGTACTTTGATCAATTATCCCGACTTTATTAAAGCTATCGATCTAGGCATAAAAGATTTCTTCAAAGTGGACGCTCAGCTTAGATCTTCTGTTTTCAGTTTTTTAAATATATCAATAGTTTTGTTTTTTTCCTCTCAATTTGCACAGACGTCTAATGCTCTTATGTAGATACTGATAATGGACTAGAATGTTATTTCCAGTTAGGAAAATTCTGTCAAACTAAATAAATAATACTGTGACAATATCATTACTACTACATGTCTATATTGGATGTGTTACTTGCTTGGCTGGTTTGCATCCTGCTGAAGTGCATCAGGTTAAGAAAATGTGGGACTAATGTAACTAAGCTATATGACCACCTGACATACAACCTTTCAACATTGCAAAATTTATTTCTGTTACATGATGATAGGTTTGATCTCTTAAAGTTGCTCAGCATAATCTCTTAAGTTAGATTTACACTGATACAGTGAAATGATCCGTAAGTACCCGTTAAATTTGTTGATACAACGTAGTTAGCCAATTATTCTTGGCATCAGCAAAATTTGCTTGGATCATATTTAGTTGTAAATGTCATGTTATTCTCTTGGTCAAGATAAGCATTAAGATTTGTTCACAAATTAAATCAGAAAGCAAGAGCTGCTAGAATCTTTTACTTCCCTGCTACTGGGTAAAAGAACTACTCTTTCCTTATGGTAATGATACTGGTCTACCAAATCCTTTCACTAAATATGATCTGTTTAGTGATTATAGCAGAATTAAGAAGTATACAAACCTCCATTCCATTTGAATTGATTTTATGCTGGAAAGTCTAATGATTAGAAATTCTTCTAGATTATACACAGATTTTTCAGGCCCTGATACTTGTATGTGGAAATATTTTTCTTTAGTTGATATTGAGAGAGTTTTACAAATTATTGCACTCTTCTTGTATGGATCACAAAATATTTATGGGGCAAAGTTCCAAATGTTAAAATAAAACACACAGGGACGGGTGGTTATGTGACATGTCCTGAGTTTTACACTACAGGTGCATGTCTTATCCAGAGGCAACACAGGGAACATTTATATAATGAACAATCATTTGGGAAAAATTTCAAATGTTCAAGTTCTTAAATGGTTAGACTGCAAGTAATGTCTTTAACAGTTCTTTCTGGCTAGGGACACAAGTTTCAAATAAACTGGTTTAAGCGATCAGAAACGGGTTTAAACCTGCAAGGGAACATAAATTCAGTGCACATAAGCCAGTTTCAAAATGACTGAAACTGGTTTAAGATAAACCTGGTTGAATCAGACTTAACTGATTTGGGTCAAACTGGTTTATGCAACTTCTGTCCCAGACCCTGGTTTAAGTTAAATCAGAGTCCTCCAGTATCTCAGCATGCTCTGCAGCCCTAGGTTGGGCTGGGCAGTCTGCTCCAGCCAAGCAGGGTTGGACCTGCCCCTATTCCCCCTAACTGGAGCATTATCACTGCTCCGGCTGACTGAAAAAAGGGTGAGGATGGGAAACCCTGCTCTGGAGTGCTGCTGAGTCTGCCTGGCAAGGGGGCAGCAGACCTTGTTACGTATCCCCAGCCCCCCACCCTTTGCTGCTCCAGTGGCAGGAGCAAGGGTGGGGCCAGACCCCCATAGCTAGAGGGGAAGTGGGGGTTTAATCCCCCACATTGAAGCGGGGGGAGAGGCGCAGGAGCAGGGCACTGTGGGCACCAATAGGCTTGCTCATGCACCTGGAGCTGCAGCAGCCAGACAGCAGGGGCCCAGCCCTGCAGCCTAGGGGTGTAGGCAGCTACTGGCCCATGACAACT